CAAAATATAAGCAGAAAAATGAGTGAATTTAATAAACGGATCACAAATCGTATGTCAGAAGCATTGATGACAATTAATTTGGAGCCAAATTGCATGACATCTCTCATGAGGATTATGAGTGCCGCCAGAAATGGAGAGGTTTGGGCCCTTAAGTGTAAGTTATACCTCGACTACAATTTTATTACACAATAAATTACTAAATTCTATAAAATTCCCAAACTTTAAGTCTTTGACGCGCAGCCCCGACCCCCTTCAGGAATGATAGACATGAGTGGACCCACATTTGGTAATTACGACCAGTGTTTGAGTATTGAAAGTCCCGATGAAGAAGATAAACCTAAAATCTATGGGCAATACTGTGGAATGGATATCAGGGACAATATGGATGTAAGTCCCCATTCAGTGCCCCGGGAATATCTGGAAAACATAGGCCAGAAATTATCTCCAAACTCGTCTGAAAAGCCGGCCTTTAATCACAAGAATTTTTTTAATCAAATGTTTGAAAACTATCGAAAAGTTTTGTATCGCATGAGTGCCGACGATCTCTCGCAGGCTCTGGAGTTCATAGATAATCAGTTGTTTGATAACACATACCTAGTGAACGGACTTTGTTTGCCCACCACATGTAAACCTGCAGATATGTCCAAAGCTCTTACCGAAAGTAAGTTTTTGTTTAATCACAAGTATCTCCAGTTTAATCGTTGAATCAATATATACTTCAGTCTCGTATCCAATCACTCGGATTCCCGTCTTTGTGGACGAAGACTGCGATTATGTCGAAAAACCTCTTAAATTAAATAAATTCCAAATTATCTCAATGTATGAGTTATTTAAAGTTAAATACTTAACATTAAACTAATTTTTATTTCAATAGTATAGCCATCGGTGCTGTTGTAATAACATTTGTGTCGAGTACTGCCATTGATTGTCTCCCTTTTATTGCCTGTATTAAGGGATTAATAAAAGGGACTTCAATTGCATTTATAGTTAAATGTTTTTCGGCCAGAAATAGCGCCAAATCTATGTTTAGTCTCAAACAGTACGGAAAATTTAAAGCATTAGACGGATACCGGGCCTGTCTTACCATTTGGGTGGTTATCCTTCACACCTATGAGTTTGGATGCATAACTCTAACCAACAAAAACTTTTTTCTCAGCTCTTCTTATAAAATGATTCACGATTATAGAAATATGATTTTCCCAAATATATTACTTATGGACAACTTTATGATAATCACAGGTTTTAATTAGATTTGGTTTATTCTAGTAACTAATAATTTATTAGTAAATTTTGTTTGTTAAATAGGTTTTGTATTATTTAACACAATGATGTCAAAACTCGAGAAAAGTAATGGACAGTTCAATTATTTAAATTATTTAATTTTCAGGTACTTCGTACCTCTTATTTTATAATAAATAATAAGATTTATGCTGGTATTTTTTTTTATAATTTAATAGATATCTACGATTAATACCTATTATTTTATTTGGACTACTCGTAACATTTTTATTTGAGTTTACTGGTTCAGGTAAATATCAGTGATATTACTAATTTTAGCTTAATTAATTAATTAATATACTAAATTATTTATATTATATTTGTATGATCAAATATTTTATCATGTTACAAAGGTCCATTTTGGAATACAATACTTATTTATTTTGTGAATCCCTGTTATGAGAGATGGTATAAACCTTTATTAATGACAAATAATATACTTTACTATCCAAATGAAAACACTACTATATTGTCATCACTTCAGGTTTGTTTGAATGATTAATGTATTATTAATAAGTTGTTATTAATTATCTTTATTATATATTTTCATTTTTATAGTGTATGACAATAACATGGTTTGTACTCATTATTATAGTATTCAAATGTCTATTAATTGATTATTCTTATTTATATTAAGGTATTCATCAATGGATTTTCAATTGTACGCAATGGCACCGATAGCTTTTCTAGTGCTTTATAAATTAGGCCGGAAAGGTTTGTACTGGATGCTTATATTACTGGTAATAGGAATCATAATACCCCCATTCAATCGGTTTGTGATGGGAGACCTACACGCATATGAGATACTAAGTCATCACAATGCCAAACAAATAATGTTGGGCTGGAAATCACATTATTGGGGACCTCTTAACTACATTCAAACCCAACTCATAGGCATGTTATTGGCCTACGCTGTCAGATATCATCCGAAAGCATACTTAGGCGGATCTATAGGTCATGTGATCATTTGGTTGACCACTTTCTTGATAACATTGGGTCATATGTATTGGCAAAAGGATATGATCATGCCCGGTTTTGAATATGGTCCATACGAACACTATCTCTATCTATTTTTTCACAAACCATTATATCTATCGTGGTTTGCATGGCTTATATACGGCACGTCTACTGGCAGATGGGGTTTGAATTATTAAAGTTAATTATGTTTACATTTGTTGTAGTAATAAAATTATCATTAAATCTTAGGAATTTTAAGTGATATAATTGGTTGGAAAGGATTTAAAGTAGTCGATAACATGTCCCTTGAAATCTATATTGTATGATATAAAAGTTTTAAAAAATTTAAATTATATTAATATTGCTTCTAACTTATAAAAATTATTAATTATAATTTTACAACTTATCCAAACAGATGCATACATTTGTGTTTGTGTACAGAATCGGTGTACAGAGAGAGCTTCGTACATATAATGAATATTATATTGTAAGAATATCATTTACTAAAAATATATCTTATGTATTATATGTCTTAAATTAAATAATGATATTCAAAATCCATGATATAGTGGTCTTCAGCCATCGCCGACTTCGTGTCCTCCTATGTGTTGGCAGTAATGGCAGGCTTTCTGGTGTCGCGACCCTTCGCCGCAATGACTCAGGCGTTGATTAAACCCCAAACAAAATCTAAGACCTTCTCCAGAGAGAAAATATTTGACAAGAATTTATCAAATGTTGACAATAATAATCATCATCATATGGTTTTGGATAACAACTCTAAAAATCCATTTCCAGTGCTCGACGTACAAGATATCAAACATTTTAATGGTGTTCAAAACAATTCAGATAAAATTGTTACTAAATTATAAATAAAAAGAGAATAATTCATAAATTTGAGAAAACAATTCTTAGTACTATATTACTAAATAATAAAATTATATAATATTAGTAAAACTACCCGGATATTATTATAAATTAAAATGAATTACTGTATTTTCATCTTTTAAAAAGAAATTTATAAATTAATATATAGTTTTCTAATTTTATTAAATAATATGTAATTTTAATTATGTATAAAATATTTTAAATTTGGATTTTCATAAAGGATTGACAAACTGCTTTTAATTACACCACAAAGTGAAATATATGTATATATTGACAGAAATAACCATTATTTTTATCTGTTTACGAAAAGCTACTCTTCTATAAATAGTATTAAATTCTGTTTAATATTACTTTATTGTATATTATTATGATAATTTGACAACAAATGACTACTGGTTTTTTTTAAGGAAATTAATTATAACTTTTATTACTTAACAGAAATACATCTTAAATGAGTTTTTAAATAAATATTCTTTTTCGTGGGTTTTTCATTAGTCTTCACTTAATTTTGTAATCATTTTCTTTCTATAATATTAGCCAAATTATGTCAGATCAGTGTATTTCACACAAATATCTAGTCCTAATGTAAACTAATTTTGAAAAACTATTGAATAAAGTTTATATAATAGCCATATAAGTAAATATGAAATGTTTCAAGTTAATCAGGATACTATTTTTATTATTTATAGCATGTATAGTTTTAATTAATTGTAATGAAAGTGATTATGATTCGGACGACATAACAGACACTGATTATCAATTGGATAACAACTCCAGCCTTTTCTCAAACCAATCGTTGAATGGCACGGATGGCGATCCCTTAGACGTCGATGATTATGGCGATGAGGACGCAGATGAAGAGGATGAAGACGACGACGAATGCACTGTCGATGAGTTTGTTGACCACTACTCAGCCCTACTGTTGCCCGAAGACTACGAAGAGGGGAAGAAATTGGATTTCACTCAGAAGTCGTTCACATTCGCCGAAAGTATAGCTAAAGTGAAGCGTTTGGATCAGTTGCAGAAGAATATTAGCCGAAAGATGGATCCCATCTTAAAGCGTGTGGCGCCCAGACTATCGGAATTCCTATTTTACGTCGATTTGCCCTCAGATTGCATGACAGCTATGGCGAGGATTGGACAGGCGGTTAGGGCGCAAGAACAGTGGGCCATGAAATGTATGTCTTATAATTGATGTCATAATAATTAGTTATAGAAATTAAATTTAGTTAAAATAAATAAAATATTAATTTCATTACAAGTCATGGATTCGTCGCCAATCGGAAAGGTTGAGGTGAGTTCCCTCCCATTCGGTGAATACGATGAATGTATAGAAATTGAGAGCACCTACCAATGGGATCAACCTACCATTACGGGCCAGTACTGTGCTCTGGGTATTCCCACACCAATGATTCCGGCCAGTGATGCCCACACACCTGAGGATAATAAACGCAATGATGACATGCTTTTAAATTATTTGAAACAAAGGCTTAACTCAAGTGAAGAAAATTCTTTAGAAAAGCGGTTAAACAATGAAACGGACGGCCATTTCGTGGAAGGGCTGCTCAGATATATTGAATACTTAGGTCACGACAACATACGATTACCGCCCGGTATTTGTCTGCCAAATGTCTGTAGTGCTAAGGATGCCGAGTGGGCTATCAATAAAAGTATAATTATTTATCTATATTTGTAAACTGTTTGTAATTAATAGTTTGTATGAATTTGGCATTTTTTAGTACTCTATCCACTGACACATATGAGTATTATTATTAATCCCGATTGCGATTATAAGGGCAAACCCGTTGACGTTGATAAATACCAAACAATTTCAATGTAATAACATTTTAAAAATTTATTTTTTAATTATTTATATATTTTTTTTGTCTACCTAGAGTTTGTCTGGCATTGATGTCATCTATATGTATAATTTGTACAATTATTTATTTGATAAGACTTTCAATAACAGAAAAGCCAACACCTGATGGCAAACCATTGTCACCAGATTTTTTTGTCTACCTAGAGTTTGTCTGGCATTGATGTCATCTATATGTATAATTTGTACAATTATTTATTTGATAAGACTTTCAATAACAGAAAAGCCAACACCTGATGGCAAACCATTGTCACCAGTAGTCCGAGTGAGGTTAACAAAGCGTTAACATGGGTTAAAACACCGGTATAAACTACACAGCCGGTTTGGATTGGCTAACAGCCGATACCTACCGTAAGCTCGGTATGAAACGAAAACCTACTAAAACGTTGTGCTCATTGACATGGGATACCTACCCTTTCAGAGCAAAAAGTCCAGTGAGTCGGCCCCCTATAACTTTCACTCAATGTTACGCTATATTTTGCTCATTAACTGGAATCTTACGGACACTTTCTTTCTGATGGGAGGTATGGGATGGTATGCTTTGACACCAAGAATATTGATTTATTAATTTATATGTTTGTTTATCAGGGTTATTGTGCTCTTATGTGTTGTTGACTAAATTAGACAAAACAAGAGGTGCTTTCGATTATATTAAATATGCTTTTTATAGGTTTGTATTGCATATTAATATTTTTTAAAAATAAAAATAGCATCTAATATTTGTAAATTTAAAACAATTACAGATATTTTCGTATAATTCCCATAATTCTGACAGCGATTGCCATTACATTTTCATTTGAATTAATAGGGGACGGTATATAACAATAACCAATTGTTTCGCAATTGTACCCAATTTTGTGGCCATATTTGATGTGTCGGCCAAACCTAACCGATTGTCGGCTATGGATGGCATTCGAGCCATACTTTGCTTTTGGATGATTTTGCAACACGAGTACGACATGGGATACCTACCCTTTCAGAGCAAAAAGGCCAGTGAGTCGGCCCCCTATAACTTTCACTCAATGTTACGCTATATTTTGCTCATTAACTGGAATCTTACGGACACTTTCTTTCTGATGGGAGGTATGGGATGGTATGCTTTGACATCAAGAATATTGATTTATTAATTTATATGTTTGTTTATCAGGGTTATTGTGCTCTTATGTGTTGTTAACTAAATTAGACAAAACAAGAGGTGCTTTCGATTATATTAAATATGCTTTTTATAGGTTTGTATTGCATATTAATATTTTTTAAAATATAAATTATTTTTATCGTAGATTATAAACATTTAAATTTTGTTAATGTCTATAAAAGCATATTAGGGGTATTAAGACTGTCGCTAACGGTAATGTAAAAGTAAACTTAATTATCCCCTGCCATATATTGTTATATACAAATAATGACAATAATATTTTATTTTTAAATAATTTTTTTCTTTTAATTTAATGAACCTAGGTCCTCTTTGGCCTCTCGTGAGTCAAATACTACAAAAGCCATGCATTGAAAATCCACTTCCAACTATATTTATGTTCAATAACTACATTTCATTCCCAAATATGGTTACGGTATGCAAGCTATCAAATCACTGTTTAAAGACTATAAGAGTTTTTTTTGTAAATCCTTTTCTGCCTTTCCTTACAGTGCGTACCCGTAACATGGTATTGATTTTATGATAAATGTAAACAAGCATTTTGTATGTTTCTAATATTGATTATTTGATGTGGACAGGTATGCCTCAACAGACTTCCAGCTTTACCTGTTAGCCCCGTTATTTGTAGTTATTCTATACATGAGTCCGACAGTAGGCATAGTTTGGTCATTGTTTGCAGTAATGTTGGGCTCATTCATATCCATAGCGCCTAAATTATTAGTAGGAATTCCACACTTTTTCGAGGCCTACAAAAGCCTAAGTTTCGATACAATAACCAGTAGTATATCACATCATTTATGGGGCTTTGAATCTCACGTCCAACTCTATGTGTTGGGAATATTAGTGGGTTTCCTAATCAAAAGGCACCCAAATGTGTATTTGGGAGGAATTATAGGCGAGTTATTCATTTGGTTGATCACATGGGCTCTTACAGCATATGCCCTCTTTTGGCACCGGAATTACTTTAATTTTAGAGAATATTCTGTTTGACTAAAACTTTAATGTTTAACCTAAGACAACAGTTTTGATACAATACCCCGGCCAACCTCGACCTGAAAGATACGGACAACGTGTCCCTCTCGTCCAAAGTATCTTTAGCATTTTACTAAAAAATAATTTACAAAAGTTTTTATTAGGTTTTATAAACGCGTTCTTCAGTTGGAAAGGATTTAAACCATTTGCTAATCTAATGCTTGAGTTTTATATGGTATGATCAAGTTATAAATAGTGATACAATATATTTTATATTGCTTATAATTTTTATTTCAAACCAAAGCTCCACTTATTTGTATTGCTGTACAGAATCGGGACTACGAGAGAGCGTATATTCTACAGCAACTATTATGTGGTCTGTATTTCTACTTAATATTAAATAATTGCAGTTCACTAATTTTATGTTACTTGCAATCAGTGGACAGTTGTCTTATTTGACTACATAACAACCTTCATATTATCCATAATCGTGAACGTATTGGTGACCAAACCATTCGCCAATCTCTTGAATATGATATACAAGAGGGAAAACTGATTTTGAAATTACAAATTGGATTCTGTTGTCAAAACTATGTTATGGGGCCGGTTGGAGCTGGACTTTCTATGCCTGTTGCACAGGGAGAGCAGGTTTCATAGAAATCGTAAAATGATTTTTTAAATTTACAAAAGTTTTTATTAGGTTTTATAAACGCGTTCTTCAGTTGGAAAGGATTTAAACCATTTGCTAATCTAATGCTTGAGTTTTATATGGTATGATCAAGTTATAAATAGTGATACAGTATTAATAGCTTATATTTTAATAGCTTATATTTTTTATTTCAAACCAAAGCTCCACTTATTTGTATTGCTGTACAGAATCGGGACTACGAGAGAGCGTATATTCTACAGCAACTATTATGTGGTCTGTATTTCTACTTAATATTCAATAATTGCATTTCACTAATTTAATGTTACTTGCAATCAGTGGACAGTTGTCTTATTTGACTACATAACAACCTTCATATTATCCATAATCGTGAACGTATTGGTGACCAAACCATTCGCCAATCTCTTGAATATGATATACAAGAGGGATGAGAGCAGAGGAGATATATTTGACGACAACAACAATAAGTGGCAAAATGGCAAAGAAGTGACCGCTTTGGAGGACATTAACAATAATAATGGAGATGTTGTGGTCAAGAATGTAGCCTTTGATGCCAATGAGATGTTAGATAAAGTGGCTATTAATGAAACAATACTTTCTAATAATAACAATATTATGAATACAGATAACAAGGATGTTGTCAATGTGTAGAATAAACTATCAAGAATGTAGCCTTTGATGCCAATGAGATGTTAGATAAAGTGGCTATTAATGAAACAATACTTTCTAATAATAACAATATTATGAATACAGATAACAAGGATGTTGTCAATGTGTAGAATAAACTCATAATTTAAGATATTTTATTTTTAATAATAAAAAATAAACATATTTAAATAATTGAATGAATATTTATATTGGGTATAAGTAACCCTTATTTATAAAGATTTTACAAATATGTATACTTAATATTTATTTAAAATAGATTGATATTAAGGCATAATTAAAGAAAAACTATAAAACAATTTCATTGCAGTACTATAAGTTATAAGTTACTAAAATGTCTTCAATCCAATATCTCTTATAATTAATTTATTCAATCTTTTTACAAATTATTGAAAACAACACGGAATAATAATTTGATTTGATTTAAATATCATAAATAGATATTGTTTAATCAGTCGATTAGCGCATAAATCCTGTAAATACGTGACCCATCTTCGTAAGTGAGCACAAAAATGGTCCAAATTATGCCTTCAATCCAATAACTTCTGTAATTAATAGTAATTTTATCAAATGTTTTCATAAATATTTAAATATTTTTCATAAATTTTATTTTACCGGTAGTTATCTATTAGTTTTTAATATCACACCTTTATAAGCTGAATATTTGATAAAACTGTATACTGTACATGATTTACTTACATTGATGAATACAAATTATTACCATTAGATTCTTGTGATTGCAGACCATTTGGTTGATTAATAATAGATTCTGAAATCAAATGCTTATCAGATTTATTAACCGTTTTGTCAATCGATAAATATTTATTTGTCAATTCATGAGAATATTCTGTGATTCCTAACTCTAATCTATTCGTACAATTCACGCATTTTATAGCCATTAAACAGAAAACTAGTAAAAAGTAATTCATTTTAACGTTTCGTTGGCACACAAATATATCTAATAATAAATATTTCTTAAATATAAAGTATTATGTAATACAATAGGGAAAAGGTAAAATTGCTTTGTAATCACTGTTTCATTGTAAGTCTTAATATAAGACATAATATTCATAAAATAATATGAATTTTACTCATTAATAGTTTTGGTTATTCCTGTTGTTTGTGTTCATATTCTCCACAAACTAACAAAAGTGGGAATTCATGGCAAATATGATGCCATCACTCGTGAGCCAAATGATTATAACGGGTGTTCAAAAAGGTACGCAAAAAGATATAAATTTATTATTCAAAAACTACAAAGGATAATTTAATGGAATATAAAGCATTTTGAAGATAAAAGTATGGGATTTAATGATAAATATTGTCAAAATTTTTCCGTCACTTTGAGCCAGACTTCCGAGCCATACACTAAATTTATTGCCTTTATGGCCCATCATATTGTTGTCCACACACTGAACTCTATTGCATAGACATTGAGTAATTACTATGTAAACAAGGGTTTGAAATCAATGACTAACAACTCATTTGTATATCAAATGAAAATTATTTTATTATTCAAAACAAAATCCCATACTTTTATCTTAAATTTGAATTTGATTTGATTATGATATCTTTTGTAGTTTTTGAATAATAAATTTATAACTTTTTGCGTACCTTTTTGAACACCCGTTATTTTCACGAATGGCTATAATTTTATAATTTCTAAAAGTGATTCAAATTATTTTATAAGCATATTAACTAAATTACAAAAATTTAATTTACTAATTAGCACGTTCATTTCACATGTACCATGAACATTTATTGCGCAAATAAATCTATAGGCAATAATTGTGTACAATATTTGACAACTTATCGTGTGTTTATAATTACGATACATTTATTGAGTAATATTATAATTATCTGAAAAGCATTGAAATTAAAAGATATGAATAGTTATTAATAGTTATTAATAGTTATTAATAGTTATTAATATAGTATTTGTGATGAGTTTGTGAAGATGGCGTCAATGTAATGCAGTTTTCATACAAACTGTAAGACTATTCACTATATTGTGGATACAATTTGGGATTACTTTGAGTGCATTGAATGAGTCGAACACACAATGAGTGATAACCATAACTAACTGCAACTCATAACACATATATTCACCGATTATAAGAATCGGTAATAAGAATCGATTGGCAGAGAGGGGGAGGGGAGGCATAGGGGAGGCATAGGGGAGGCATAGGGGAGGCA